TCTCTTCCCCTCCTCTCAGGATTTTGGGCATGCATGCACATGCCCCTGGTATGATTTTCAAGCTGCCAGATCCAAGACTCAAACCATAGTTAGTCATGTGGGAGTCCAGTGCCTCAATCACTACACCACCTGCTGGCTTTATTTTTTTTCTTAAAATCTTTTTTGTTATTGTCAGAGAGTGCATGTGCTCACAAAAGAGAGACAGAGATAGAAAGAAAATACCCCCCCATAGGGTGTGATCATACCACAATCGTTAAATTTTACTTATTTGTTTATTTTTTGTGAGAGAGTTTTTCTATAGGATATATGTGCTCACCAGAAAGAGAGAGAGACAGAAAGAGAGAAATCACCACCACACACCACACTGCAATACCTTCTACTCCATTCTCCTCTCAGGATCTTGGGCATGCATGCACATGTGTCCAGCATGAGTTTAAGCCACCAGGTCCAGGACTTGAACCACGGTCAACTACATAGGAGTCCAGTGACATAACCATTACGCTATCTACTGGTCCCAAAGTTTTGTTTTTGTTTTTTTGAGGGGGAGAGTTTTTTGTTTTTTTTTTCTATAGGGCGTGTGCGCTAGCCAGAAAGACAGAGAGAAACAGAGAGACAGAAAGTGACAAATCACCCCTCAGGGGGGATGGCCACACCGCAATCCCTTCTCTTCCATTCTCCTCTCAGGATCTTGGGCACACATGCACATGCGCCCGGCGTGAGTTTAAGCCACCAGGTCTGGGACTCGAACCGCAGTCGATTACATGAGAGTTCAGCGACATAGCCATTATTTCTTTTTGAGCTGCCTGAGGATATACCGCCACCATGAATAACACAGTAACTATCCATACCAGGAAATTCATAAGCAACTGACTATGTCAGAGGAAACAAATGGTCATTGATGTCCTTCACTCCAGGAAGGCAACAGTACCTAAGAGAGAGATTGAGGAAAACTAGTGAAGATGTGCAAGACCACACCAGATATCTTTGTATTTGGGTTCAGAACCCATTTTGGTGGTGACAAGACAACAGGCTTTGGCATGATTTATAATTCTTTGGATTATGCAAAGAAAAATGAACCCGAATATAGACTTACAAGACATAGCCTGGTATGAGAAGAATAAGACATCAAGACAATACAGAAGGAACACAAGAACAGAATGAAGAACATCAGGAGGACTCAAAGGCCCAAGTTAGTACTGGCAAAATGTCAAAGGAGTAAAGATTCTGCAATGATTATCTGTAGTGATTGTGTGAATTTTTCATGAGAGGATTAATAAACTCAAATTTGTCATGGGAAAATAATTTTAAAACAATTATTTATTTTAAGTTGTTTATTATTATTATTATTTTAATTTGACCAGGGAGAGAGATAGAGAGAAAGAGAGAGAGGAAAAGTAAGAAAGCAAGCTACCAGGTCTAGTATTCATTCAAGCAACAGTTAGCCATGTGGGAGTCCAGTGCTTTAACCACCATGCCATCTGCCAGCCCCAATTCTACAATCCTTTTTCCTCCATTTCTCCACACACACCACCCCCCAGGATTTGGGGCACACAGACACTAACCCAATGTGAGTTTTTGTTTGTTTGTTTTATAGTTTTTGCTATTTGCTATAGAGTGCATGCATTCACCAGAGAGAGAGAAAGAGGGAAAGA